ACACACACTGACACATCAACAGACACACTCCCATCAACAAACACAGAGAGCTGTCAAATAAAGCAACACTTGTAATTATGGGAGGGGGTGAAATTCAGATTTATTTATTCCAAAATGAAGCCTGCGGATCGACGGAGGGACAGCTCTCCTCCATCTGTCATCGTTGAAGCCACACTTGTCTGACACAGGGATTCATTCGTCTTGTCGTCTTTGACAGTCGGATTTTCCCGGCGCACTCCCACCAGGAGTCGCACAGGATTTTTGGAGGCAGACTAAAAAAGAAAACACTCTGTGACAAGGAGTAGGCTCTTTATGAATGCAAATGAGTCTGGGAAAATTCACAGAGCAGCTAGCGGGCTCCGGCATCCGTCACATCTCCCCCCACCAGGCACAGCCCACGCTTTGCCAAGAGGTCTAAGGGCTTACAGGGGCCCTACAGCAAGAACAGACACACTCAGAGAAAAGGGCATGGAAATCCTGTGGCTAACACACACTGCGAGTGCCACGGTGACTATTATTTTCACGAAAATGATAAGCGTACTGTTTTTACATGCCATCCACAGAATGGCTGGTGGGTTTTAGGTATTATTATGAAACATTCATCTTCTCAACCCTCTGTGTGTGTGTGTATATGTGTGTGTGAGGATGCGTCACTTGTATCACTTGACATTTTGCTTCCCTTTTATCCTGTTCCAAGGATAGTAAGTCAAATGGTATGTGACAGGTCAACCCCTTCATATCAGTCATCCTTCACCCTGACCCAGCCTCAGCTGCACAAAAAGACATCCAGCTACAGGATACAGACGAATCCTGCTGGGTTGAAGGCAAGAATCTGTTCACTCAAACTAACAAGGAAACACTGAATAAAATCTCCATCTCAACCAGACTGTCAAGTCTTAAAATGTAATTTCCTTAAACAAAGGCACAAAACGGTGGCAACACAAGTTCACCTGTTTCCAGAATCCTTTTTTTTATAGTAGTAATAATCCTCATCTTCATTAAGAAAAACATTATAATGCTCATTGCCACAACTAAATTAAAATGAAACTACACCAATTTTACATACAATAGAGATATAAACTCAAAACATCTCTCATTTTGAGTTTCATAAAGGAAATTTTTTACAGCAGACATTTTGAAACTGAAAATGTGAGGCAATGTTGATATAGTGGCCACACTCGGTATTGCAGGATCATGTGGCGCTCGCAAAAGGAATGGCTGTAAAATTATGAATAAATCTTTCTGAGCGTCACATCCTGAATCTTTTTGTTATTAGAACTTGATCCATTCAGTTCACTAAAATGTCTAGAAAGCCATATCAATAAATTTTTATTTATGCCAATCTTGTGAGCAGGGGGCCAAGAAAGACTCAAACATGCACACACTCAACTGGCTTGATAAGAAAAGGACTAAAAAAGCAAAAGCCTAAAAATCTTTTGGCCATATGCGCCCAGTGAATAACTTTCATAGGAATAACTGGAGCGCCATCTTGGAACTCGGAATGCATTCATGGCAAGCATGCACAATACCAGGATCCTGAAACTGAAGCTGCTAAATGGAATTCAGCCATCATTCATTTTATTATTTACACCTGTTTTTTCAGCTGTGACATGTCTCCACTGAGAAAGCTTTATCGTAGGAATCAGCATATTTGAACCTTGACCTACATGAAGATATAAAAGTATAACGCATAAAGGACTGAAAGGACATCCCGTCCTCTGCTGCATCCCTTGTATCAATGAATATGTCCCCTCGCAACTGCCCCAACTTTATGAAAGTGCAGTACTAAATCTCTGGAGCAAACCTTTAATGAGATGATTTATATATAATATCACATTAATGACTGGGCTGCTGTGCAGATTTTGCTTCCTAGCTCAGCTTTGTTTCAAGTACCTCTTTTGCTAAAGAGCTAATCTGAGGTGCAAAGAAACTGGGACTTGTGGGTATTTAATTTAGCAGGAGTTCAAAGGAGGATGGTCAACAGAGGCAGAGCGAGGGCTTGGAAATGCTGACTCGGCTCCTGTCGTTTAATCTATTTGAGGTGCGATTAAAGTTTAATTCGTGCCCATCTCCTAATGCTAGCCGATGTGTGTGCTCCCCAGCAGTGGGTCGGTGAGTAGTTTCAAGCTGAGCCCAGGTCTTTTCTCTCTGTCTGGGCCTCACTTTATTCATGCCTGAGGGACACCAGGAGCTGCAAACAACTGAATTTTTCATCAAGGTTACTTCCTGGAGAGATGTGCCATGCAGTTGCTGCTTTCTCCCTCGATGTGTTCCTAGCTCATACATAACTTACCCTGCTCTGACCTGCAGCTCTCTCTGGGAGGAGTTGTTTGACCCTGGTCCAGATAAGAGAACATGTGCTGTGGAGTCAGCATGAGTTTGTTATGAAGCTTGAAATATTGAGGTTTGGTTTACATGGTTTGATTATAAGATATCTGGTAACACTTATACGCATTTAGAATGTATTAATGCATTTGTCAACAACTATGCTAACTGCTCTTATAAAACATCCATAAACAGTTAATGAATGCTTTATAACAGTCTTCATGTTTGGTACAGCGTCCTAACATTATTAGAGACTTTACATTATTTTGGTTTGGGGGGCTCAAACTGAAGACAAAACCTGCCATTTTCCAATCACAAATGTATTATAATGTATAGTACATTCAGTCTTGTTCCATATTTATCAGAGCAGCCTCACTGGATGTTGGTAAACACAACACAACTCAACAAATTCAACTAGTTCACATTTCTTTTGGGAATACCGACATGCTTGGCATTAACATTTTCAGTCTCAGAAAAACAACTCTGCAACTTCTGGAGAAAAACATCTACTATTTATAAGAATATTTTTACATCAAAATTCATTTGCAATTATAATCAAATCCCACTTATTCCTTTTTTGCAGGATTATTAATGCTGCAACAACACATTTGGTTTTAATGGAGGGAAAATATGCGATGTCAGATGTTTTTGTCTTCTTCTCTTTCATTAACGGTGCAAATGCAGTATTTTTTTGTGAAATACAGCAATCAGAGCCCCAAACAAGGTCTTATTTATTCTATTTAGAGTTTACTTTCCAAAAAGCATCCACAAGCAATAAGGTCATTTCTGTCTATTGGCTTAAAGTGGAATAAATTTGAATTTAGACCAAAAAGAATGAGGCCTTTAGATCATATTTCACATTAATCAATGCAGCCTTTGATTTTTAAATCAGACCTAAGAAGACTAATGTGTGGGAGGTATGGATCGGGATTTGAATAACCAACCTGACATCATAGTGTGGTTTTATATTCACACTTTTGTAGATGAATAATTTGGTAAAAAATATATATATAAGAAAAACTTGATATTTGTCATGTCTGATGAATAATTTTTTCACACTTTAGAGTGTACATGTTTACAGCTGAACCACCACTCTCGTTTTTAAGGTCTACAACACAAAGATAATCCTCCATCATTATGACCCTGTTAAATAGGAAATAAAATCAAGCAGAATGGCTGTTGGACTGCAGACTTCCATTTCAGGGCTGTGCTGTGCAGTCTTGCAGCTCCTGAGTGTCAGACATTATCACCACCACTACCCTCAACCTCACCCTGCCCCTTGTGACAATTACTGCCCTACCTCCCTATTCAGCACGTAATGAGAAAACTGACTGATCGATTTCTGTCCGGCCAGTAAAAGAAGGGAAGGAAGCATTTGGATATAGCACAGACCAGACTCTGAGGCACAGAACTGCAGCACATGCACATTATGAATTATATTTGTTTTAGGTGTTAATGGAAGATAATTGGCATGAGATAACAAATATTAAATGTTTGATGCAAAGAGTTGTAACATATTTAGGTACAGGTCTGGTTTAGGGCTGCAACTAACAATTATTTTTATTATTGATTCATCATTCTGGCAATTTTCTTGATTAATTCATTAATCAATTGGTCAATAAAATGTCAGAAAATGATGATTTCCCGAAGCCCTAGTTGACGTGGTAGTCAAAAAACTTGTTTTGACTGACCAACAATCGGAAAACAAGCAAAATATTATTTTTAATGCTTAAAACTTGCAAATATTCACATTTGATCAGCTCGAACCGATACATTTTGGGCATTTTAGCTTTAAAAACAATTAAAAAGATGGTGGAGTTCCCCTTTAATCAATTATCAAAATAGTTGCCTATTAACTTTCTCTCACTGACTAGTTGTTAAATGTTTAAATAAAAGGCTGGTTAGACTGGGGGATCAGTAAAATTGCTCTTACAACTGTTGGTCCCTACAACATAAGGCTTGTAAATGTGCTGCCCCACAAACTGCTGCACGTTCTAATAAATTCATCTTGATTTATTATTCCTTTGACTGATTACACGGATGTAAATATTCAGCGGTAAAATATATAGTCTGGTTGACAGAGTGTCTTTTCCAAGCACCGCCATGCTGTCCTGTTGGGTCAGAGCTCCACTGCCACTCACAATTATTTATTAGGCTACATATTCACTCTCTATCCATCACTGTGTGGCCACCCGGTCCGGTCACATCTCTTTATGTTTATTACAGTGTCCCACCTTCCTGAGGAGGATGATTGACGTTTTCGGAGAGGACCGAGGTGGGACTTGCGCGCCCCTTCTTCTCCAATCGTGGCTCGAGGGGCGGAGGCTTTTCATCCATACTCTGATTATGAGTCAGTTACCAGACATAAGCGAAACAATAACAGTTGGTGGTTACTTTTGTATCCAAAACCTTCACAGGCAAGTTGAGTCTTTTAGCGCGTTTTAGCGCATCAAGCTCTCGAGCATATCGGAGGTTTCATAAGAGGGAGCTCAGCGCGCTCCACTTTTAATCAGATTAGGAGCCTTTAATGTTCAATCCTGTTTTTTTTTTTCCTTCTTCTTCTTCTTCT